ACTGGTGTTGTGGAGTAAAAAGGTTATAATGTTCTCTTTTGTTGGACAACAGGTTTAGAAATGTGAATACAAGGGAAGTTTAGCTTTAGGCATTTTAATTTAAGCATGTTTAGCTTAGTTAACGGAAGGCTACCTGCTGCCATCAGAGCAAGTATAATTACTGCATTCACACGCTCCTCGGATGCTCTCATTTCCCGAGTTGTGCTTTTAAGTTGGAATGTGAAAACAATATGGACACGCTCATTACTACAAAGATGTGTTGGATTTGTATTATTAGAGCTTTCCGACTTGAGTTCACGTGTGTTTTCTCAGTCGTGAAATTATTTTTCACGTGCGGTGGCGGTGATGATGCTTCTTATGTCTGTTTCGGAGAACCAGAGGACAAATATTTCAATCGATCGCTCAGGCATGGCACCGAAATGAGGCACCGAAATCTGCGTTCTGATTCGGTTCTAGTACATACCGGTTACATAGGTACCAGTGCCATATTGGTACTGGGTTTCAGTACCCAACCCTACTTATAAGTTAGTCTCAGCCTCAGACGTCATGCCCAATGACTGCTGGCTGAATGTCTGATGCATATGGCACTCTTAACTGGAAACACTTCAGTAGATTTGAAGTCGTCATCTGACTTGTTGAATTCCACAGGATGGTCTGCCAGGAAACAACACCAAGCTGTCTGATTGAAGAAGAAAGCTGTCGTGTTTAAATCATTAATTCAACATTGAGCATTCATCAAGATTGACTAAACACTGGATTCTTAAAAGTATATGAGGTTCATGGTATAAACTCTTTATAAGACATCCGAAAGTTGTGAGACATTCATGAATCATGAATGAATGATTTACTGGTTGCAGTAAATACTGGTCTGTTATTGTGGGGACATTTTCACGCCCCTAAACATTATGCAGCGCAAAATTAAACATGATTGGTTGCTGTACCTGTCAGTCATATGGCTTCTTGGGGGGGTCCTTTGCCATTCAAAGCAGCTACGCAAGACAACTTATTACGCTGTCTTCTAAGATAATGGTTGGGAACTGAGAACCAATTTTTATTAACCAATTCTCTTGCTTTTTTTAAATACCATAACCAAACTATTTTAATTCATTACATTTCATTTTTTTGTTTCCACCAAAGTATTTCTTCCTCAAAGTACAAAAAAATTGATAATTATAACACGTTTAGCGGTTTATGTTTTAATAAGAATTTTGCCAGAATTGGCAGTAAAAAAGCAACTTGCTAGATTTTGGACCAAAGCATTAATCTTGTAAATCTAGAATAAGGACTGATTGTTGTTTGTCGCTGTCATCACAGATAACCCATATTTTTAGCTACCATCAACCTGACACGCCCACTCAAACCATTTCATGGTTGTAGAATGATTTTGCCGCTGTAATTGGATTGGCTGTTTCTAAAGAGGCTTCTGTCGCTGATGGCACAGATGCGGTGGAGTGATGCTTTCTCTTTATGAGTGCCCTTCGGTTATGCATTTTTAAGGCGTGTAATAGGCAGCGGGCCGCACAGCAAGGGAGGTACAAGATGATGTTTACAGAACACTTGCTCCATTAAAAACGTTTGGCCGTGCTACTTTGTATGATTATTTCAAATGAGCGTGTCTAATGCTAATGTCACTTTGCATTTGTATAAACAGAAACATCTATTCCCCAAGTAAACAACACAAGAAACGGAGCCTAGCTTCTTAGGATGTGTTCGAGGTGTCTTCTGGAAGAAGAATGAGAACCTACAGCAGGGTCTAAATCACAGATATGAGAAACCACTGCCCAAAAAGAGAAATGGACTGCGGAAAATGGATGTGGCTCCCAGCTCCCCGCCCTGGCACCATAAATAACCTCACCATTGATCGTCTGTAGTCTGTGATTCTCCACAGCCCTTCTCTCCACATTCATCAGCCTTGCGTCTGATGTGTTTGCCGGCTACTTAATCCTCCGATTACTCAGTTGGCCTTTGCCCAGTGTCTACTGCTCTACCTCTCTGTGATTTGCTGGGTACCCAGAATAGAGCTTCTTATGGTGCTAATCTGTAATAAATCTAAAGTTATTCGAAAGTGAACAGCCCTGAAGTCATACAGGGTTTATGCAGCACTGTCTACTTCCTAACATTGCTCCCTTCTCCAATTCAGGGATCAAATTAAAGTTCTGTAAGATGCTCATGCTCCAAAAGAACAAAAGTGCTGAATGTGGAATAAAAAAAAGAGTTGAGATCCTCTGGCGAGACAGATTCATCCTAGTTTCACAGTCTCTGAGGGTGATCGGTGTATTTCTACATTGTGAGAATTGAACTGATTTGAACAGATTTCTCAGGCAGCAAAATGTGTAGCCTGGCAGCAACCTAAGTATATAAGAAAACAAACAGAAACAGGAGTAAAATACTCTCTCTGGTGCTTAAGCATGCATTTTTTATAAATGCTTGAGAGACTAAAAAAGAAAAGGGATTTATGATTGTGGAATTTCGGATCGAGGTTTAACAGAAATGGGAAATCAGGTCAGATGGTGATAATAAAAGATTTTGACTACCTTTGTTTTTGTGTCCCCATCTTCCACCGGATCAGACCGTCGGGCATCCATTCATTCTCTTGATTCAGTTGAAGGGAATCTGGACGGATGAGTCCAGATAGTGCTCTGGGGCACTAAAGAGCTCCCACTGTCTTCACAGTGCTGTACCAAACGCCTGACAGTGGACATGTTGATACACGGTTCCCTTTATCTTGCAAGGTCGGGCCATTTATTTTGTGAATGCTTCTGAATGTAAAGGGCTTGCCATTTTCCATGATCTGTGAGAAGCTAGTCTTTGTTCCTCTGTGGAGGATTCCTCTGGTTCAGCTGGAAGAGGATCTTTTCAGAAAGCCTGCCATGGTGAGGGACATGCCCCTCAGTAGGAGTTTTGTGAATTGTTCTGGTTCCTGGCTCTTTTCACTGGACCGACTTGAAAAGTGTCTATTTGTTTTTGAATAGATTTTCACCATTATCACAAATTTAAATGTATATTCATATAAAAGTAATCCATGCAGAACATTTTTTAAAGCAGTCTTCTTGTGTTTTGAAGACAACTCTGCACTCTTTTTTTTTATACAGCAGATGGGGTTTCTGTGAGGTACACTGTATTTGATTTGATCTCGACTTAGAGGGGTTTCTGTGATAAATTGGGCCTTTTGGATAATCCTATCAGATTATCATTTGCATACCAGTATACATTATTCATTTAGTGTCTGCCTCTCCAATTAGTCGAAGTCAGGTTTTTCCCCGGAGAGGTTTTAATATCTGTGTGACCCTGGAAATCCTGCAGGAGATTTAAGCTAATCAGCCACAGCCTCATCAGCTCTTCAGAGGTGTGTTTGCCTGTGTGTTTACTCTTTTTGCTTTTCATTCCCTCACTCTTTCTTGCTCTGTCTTGACCTGTCCTGGGCACCATGCTCCAGTGGGAGCTTCCTCACTGTGAGCGAGACAAAGGATCAGAGCGCTTGACAAAATGCCACTGCCATGCCTGTCAATGAGGGTGGCGCCCCCTCACATCCCCACTCGGCTCGGGATCGACCCTTTGCCAGTTTCCTTTTAAAAACAGTTTTGCTACCCTTGCACCTGGATTCCAACCCCTTAACATCTTAGCCGGTGCTCAGTGCCATCTATTGAAAACCATCCTGCCATTTATGTGGTTTGTTGTTTTGACTGTTTGCTAACATCTTTTATGCCTTTTTCTCCACGGCTCTTTGAAGACTTGTGCCGATTCATACCATAGATACAGAAGTTTCTCTAATGGCTGTCTCGCCACAGTCTAGACTCCAGTGCTTCACCCGCTGACTCGCTGTCTGCTTCTGTGCCTGCCTTCTTCCTGACTGACTGTCTTTTTGAGTCGCTGCTTCAAGGCTTAAAGCGCTTGACTGCTTGACAGATTGTTTGACTCTTTGACTTCTTCACTCATGTTTTTGAAGCGAATCATTGGCTGGATTGATCTGTGCTCCTCATGCCCCTATGGGGAGTGATACTCCCTTTCCCTAGTCTCACTTTCTTTTTCTACTTCTCAGACACAACTATCTTCCCCTAGGACTTCATTGCTGCCTTTAAACTTGTCTTTCTTTTATCTATCTTGATTTATTTTCTCCGCATCCCTCTCCTCTTCATGAAAGGCTTAATTTTTGTTGATTTAGTTTATTATTGGATGCTCTTGCAGTTTGGAAGACACATCCTGCGCAGGTGGTGCACCTGAGGCAGAGAGGGTAATTCTTTATTCCCTGAGTGTGTACCCGTTCCTGAGGGATGAGAGTGTTAGGGAATGACAGCTCTTTGTAACCTGGTTTCTTCCTCTAGCTGTTTATCCAGGAGCTGTCTTTCCTCCTCCTATTTGGTTTTTATTGAAAAAAGCAGAATTTGAGTGCTTGTGCTGAATGAGACAGGTGGTACTCTGATCTTTCCATGTACTAGTTCTCACTAGAATCTTAATGCAAAGAGAGCAGCAGCCACATAAACATAGCCTGGGGTTGAGGCTTGTGGTCTGCTATGACACTGCACAGCCAAAAGCGATACCTTTGCGCATCCCGTAAGCAATTGAAAGACTAAGGAAATGCGTGATTAGCATGAAGAAACAGTAGCCTATTCATCTGAGCTGGATGCAGCCAAACAGGGTGGAAAAAGCCAGAGTGTGTTTTTAACGGTTAGTGGGTTCAGAACAGACTGAACTTCTGGTCTCAGAGAGAGAAAAAATGGTGGAGAGAGAAATTACTGAAGCATCTCTTTTAAGAGACCACTGTCTGCTCCAAAAGCAAGTTACTGCACACCAAAATGTGTAGTATCGCGTCTTATAGGGGGACATTTTCCGTATCACCTGGGAATAAAAAATGAGAACAATAAACTTCCCACATTTTTGTTGGGTATGCTATTTTAGTGGTGCTTGCTAGGCACTTTTACCCAGTGGTAATTTTTTTTTAAGGCGTGGTTTCCAGTGTTTTGGCATTTGTATATATTTTATATGAATGAATTTTAGTTAATTTTACTTGAACTAAAATGGCATCTGGTTTTAATCAACAAAAATGTAATTTTAGTTAACTAAAGTGCAAATGTATATTTTATATAATGCTATATTAGATACATTTTATGTAAAGAAATATAGTTCTTTTGTATGATTATTGTGGTCTTTTTGTCTTGTGATTCTCTTTGTCCCTTATCTTGACATCATATTCTCAGTCATCCTTAGCCATCTTTATCTGTTCTGATAAATTAACTGGTATTCTCTTGTGCATCACGTACAATGCATAGCTACCCTCTTGTGTTTCCAGCATAATGCTGATCCTGACATGCTTGGGGTTGTCTTACAGCTCTCATTAAGGGCTAGTTTTACAAGTGGCATCACGGCTGTGAGAATTTAATCCGGCTTGTGTTCTAAGGGTGGTTATCTCCATTGTACTGGCTTTAATGTGACAAATAGGCCTCCTCTGTCCCGCTTTGCACGAGAAACAGAGCTGTTAGTGGTGTGTTCACAATAGGGGTTGTGATTCCTGCTGAATAATGGTGGCATGCTTGTAATATCTCTGGTTTACTGCCCCCTTCGTTCCTGAATCATTACTAGTATGGAATGCACTATTTGCCTTAAGTGTACTGTTGTGAACACAGCTACCAGTATTTGTGGAGTTTGTTTCCACCGCTGTCTCCATAGAAATGCGAACCCATGCACATAATTGAATTATATCGAATACATGAATTAAACATGAGACATGATTCATTGACATTTGGTGGGTGGAAATAAACAATGACAAAGTTATTGTTTTGTTCCTGTTTGTGTGGTTGTATTGGTTTCACCCAGCTCAAGTCAATTATATTAGACAAATTCTCATTACAAGAAACATTTATGCATGAATTCTCTGAAACAAATAAGGAGCAGGAGCCAGCGTTGTGCCATACTGGCATCAGTGTTACTAACAGTAATGACTGTGCAGTGAAAGAAGGATCAGGAAAGAAGGTTTGCTTTAGAGACCCTAAGGACAGAAGGAATGGTAGGTTTGTAGGCTGGTAAGTGAACAGTGCCTGGGGTAGATCATGCCAGAGGCGATCCTTCAGACACTCATTGGCTTATCGAAGCCAAGTCTGGGCCTGGGGATCCAAATCACAGTGTGTGATAGCTGTTTGCTTAATCACTGGTACAGGAAGAAGGAAATGAGCTGACTGTCAATAGGCTCCAGGAAATTAAATATGCTCCACACGCTGCAGAAATTAGATGGTGCCAGAGTTCTCCATGCCTGTGAAGTGACAGTGTTTTAATGCTGTTGAATATGGAAATATTTCCATAGGTTTGCAGTTATTTTCCAAAAAAGGCTTTTCCATTTGTATTTTTTTTTTAAACAATCAGGTTGAATTCAAAATGATCTGACATTCTTTATTTGTCTCCTTCTTTTCCAGTTTCTGTGTCTGAAGAACATCCGAACATTCCTGAAAGTGTGCCATGATAAGTTTGGCCTGAGGAACAGTGAGCTGTTTGATCCCTTCGATCTCTTTGACGTGAGGGACTTTGGGAAGGTGAGAAACTGGTTTTGCTGAGCACGGATGTTATCTAAGACTATTAATCATTTTGCACCATCATGTTTAAGTCTCTGCAGCTGAATGACATTAATGTTGTGTGCACTTTTATGGGAGATTAAATAGGGATCCTCCGATCAGGATTTTTGCAGCCAATACCGAGTACCGATTTCTTGTCATGGTGATCGGCCGATACCGATGCTGATTCTGATGCTTCAAGCCAGAGATGCGCACTCGAGTTAGTGACTCGGGCTCGAGTCGCATTTTTATAGACTTCAGACTTGACTCAGACTCTACCTGAAATGACTACAGACTTGACTCGAAAATGTTAAAAGCAACTCAAGTCTTTTATCCTTATATACTTATATAACTGATATTCAAAAGGTGAACCGCATCTGCACCCCGGCATTCATCCGGACCGCGAGCGATAACACAGCACCATTTTAAGTGAGCAGCGCGTCAAAACAGCTGAGCGGATCACATAACAAGCGCTCAGGGTCGTTTATGGTAAATATCTTTCAGCGCTATATCTTCTAGTATTTTTATCAAAAGCCAAAAGCGCTTTATTCAAGCCCTTTCAGCTCCGTGCGCTTTCTCCTTCTCTCTCCGGACGCGCGCCGACGCCAAGAGCTGCGGATGACGCGGTTATTTTAACAACAACAGAAACAACAAAACACAGCAGAAAATAACAATGCTGCAAATATAGTTATTTTTCATACTATCTATTTATCTATCTATAACCTATGACTCTGACTGTTCAAACCAGATGTGACAAGACGTTTCTGATCTACATTTAGCATTATTAATCTGTAGGCTAAGAACATTTCAAAAGAATCATGTCATTATAATTGGGAAAATTGTTGTTAGATGGCTAGGATAGAACTTAAACTTTGAAATTGCTAGTTATCTTTCTTTTCTGCTCAAGATGAGAACGTTTTGATTATTGTAGCTACATTGTTTTTAGATAATGCTTTTAAGTAGGCTAAAATAATAGATTTCAGGAGGAAAACCTTGAACAGAAACAGTATTTTTTCTGTCACATGGCCTCACATGCATCTAAATGTAAAAATGCAATACATGTAAACATTTTTTTTTTTTGTTTGTTTGTTTTGTTCAGACCTCTGCTTGGAAGAAAATATAGAGGCAGCGCCTTGGAACTTTAATTGAATACCCCTGACTTATATAATAAAGAAATACTTTATTTGTATGGTTTTGTAATACCTGTGTCACATATTTCCTTGTGTGTCATGGTAGATCGGACTCTTATTGTAGAATTTAATTACAGAAAAACTGTTTTGAACATGGTAATGGATTAAAACATAGCCTATAAATAACAGGCTGGATGTACAATAACCTGACATCTTAACACCACTTTTTATTTTTTACAAAGCAGATCATAGAATATATATTTTGTCTATAGCCTATAAAACAGCTTCTAAATAGGAAGATTTCAATACATGAGGATTCTGAATGAGATATTTTTAGCAAGCCATTAAATGGCTTGAGACTCGACTCGAACTCGTGACCAAAGACTCGAGACTTGACTTCAGACTTGACTCAGACTCCAAGTTAAAGACTTGTGAACATCTCTGCTTCAAGCTTTATATAACATATGTAAGAATGTTATATAAATAATCACAAAAAATATTCCTTATACGGTGAACATTTTAATATGCCTTTAAAATGGGGTTTATGCATGACATTATGTATATCAGGATACTTAATATAAGACAAAAATAAATACAAACAAAATGGAGCAGTCTGATGCAACCCACAAGGTTTATTTAAACATGATCCAATAGTAAGCTGTGGAGGACAAAATAAACATTAAATAAATAAAAAAACATTTAAACTCCTAAAAGAACTAATTGGAGTAGTTTGATGCAACTCATTAGGTTTAATTTAACATTGTCCAATGTTAGAAAGAGGACAAAATAAATAGAAACATTTAAACTCCAACATGGAGAAGTCTGATGTAACACGTAAGGTTTAATACAGTCCAATATAAGACTGAAGAGTAAAAAAGAAATGGAAACATTTAAACAACTGAAAGAACAAAACAGTTCGGTCACGGTTATATCCACGGGCGCTGCGGATAATAAAAAAATGCATTATGATTATTTGCGGGTGGATCACGGGTGAATAAAATAAATCATAAATGATGCAAATATTAACTAAATTTTTTTTTTAGATAAATTTTTTTTTTTCATCAGGCAGACATTTCATTTGTGTGTGTTCGCCTGATCGGGAAGTTGCAGTGACAGAAACGATGACATTCCAGATAAAGTTTGAAAGGAGTAAAGCCTGTGTTACTGCTATTGAGTAGGCTATGACAACTCACAAAAGACTATTTTAGCAAAGCAGCGTGGAGAGCCGCTTCAGAAACGTGTCGCGGCTGGCCGGTATAAATACAAGCACTGACTAGAGCACCCACGATCAGCTCTGGTGGCCGTGGAGCCGTAACGCGCCTCAGACGTGTGCAGTGAGGCGCAGATCAGCTCTAACATCACTAAATCTGCTGTTAAAAATGAACCATCCATTCATCATATCATCATGCCAAACATACATGACAAATTAATTTTTCGTTGTTTCTCGAAACGTCATAGCATTTCCACACCGGCGATGACATGACTGCAGCGCCAAATCATTTATTGAATCTGCTGTTAAAAATTAACCATCCATTCATCATATCATCATGCCAAACATACACGACAAATTAATTTTTCGTTGTTTCTCGAAACGTCATAGCATTTCCACACCGGCGATGACATGACTGCAGCGCCAAATCATTTATGTCCCCACGCATCATGTATGTCGTCACGCGTTGACGTCATCAAATTGCGATCGAGTCATAAAATGTTATTATCGACTGATACCGATCTCGGGCCGATCGATCGGAGCATCCCTAAGATTAACCCATAAGTGAGGCTATTGTGCATAAGCTTTGTTCCACTACTTACAGCACTCTCACACACAATATACTATATTATATAATATAAAAGTGTGTGCTATGCTTAATCGGCCCTGTGTGCATTTCTTCCCCCTGGTCTTATCTTCTTCACTGCGCGTTTGAATATTCACATGCACATTTGATCACACACCTCGGGGTCACAAGCATGCCTGTTTGTGCCAGTGCATATCTGTGTCACTACACATATGGTTTGTTTGTGTGTTTATGCATGTTTCCAAGGATTTCAACAGTACTCGTTTTAGGTGACTGATGATCAGCTTTTAACGTGATTTAGGGGTGAGTTGTGTGGGAAAGATCTCGTAAATATTCACAGTACCATCTAGCCCAGGGTTTTCAAACTTTGGTGCCTGGGATCCCCGAATATGATACTCCCCTTGCAGATGAGAAAAATGTTTTATTTCTGCTCGATGTCAGATTGTCCCAGCTTTTTCCACACTCTTAAAAGACACATTTCTATCTGTCGAATGGTCTGTCAGAGTTTTCTCTAGTGTGTAAGCACCATTATGCTGACTTTGCTCTGACGGTCATCCAAGTATTGGAGAAAACGTGATGTCTTTAAGAACAACTGAACCCTGATCTTTATATCACTATGACAGTTTAGTCAATGCACTGACCTCCATGATAGAAGCTCATTGCTAATTCTGTTTCTTAGTGCTAATTCAGCTTGATGTCTACTGTTTTTATTGGATATGGGTTCTTCCTCTTTATCAGTATAGTTTTCATAGTTATTAGTGGGGAAAAAAGTGCTGTAAAGATTAGTAGAATTAAAGAGAAGACAACTTCCTTGTTATTGATCGTTCCAGGTGCATGAATTGATTGGACTTCATGAAGTATTTACAGGTGCAAAGCACTTGTTCGACCATTGAAACGTTTCCAATCCAATAGTTCCGGTTAACTACAGCACAGCAAGCGTGTCTGGACATTTCCAATGCCTCGGTCAGGAAAGGAAGGAGTTGATGAGAGCGTTTTAAAGTCTCAAAAGGAGGGGCGTAGACAGTGAGATTAAGCCTTTGCCAGACGGTGAGCTTTAATGGATAATGTGGAAGACTGTGAGTGAGAGTCAATGAGCACACAGAAAACAATATTAATACCCTCAAGCAGTCAGAATCAATCACACACACCCTCCACATGTCAATGTGTAAATTGCGTTTGCGTCGACTCGAAGGTGACGGGCTTGTCCCTTCATTGATTCTCCATTAAGGGCAAGCAGCGCATTATAATATATTGAAGTAGGCAGCTCGATGTCAGTGCGCCATACATGCAAATCGTCCACCTCCTTTTAAAAGAAGAGAGACGGATGCTTCAGAAGCTTTAGAGCTGAAGGATATCGAAAGCATTTTTAATCTTTCAATAGTGCATACATCGTTGAACTTTAACCTCGGGCAGTAATATATCTCTCTGGCCTGTCAAGCTCAGGGTGCCTTTAATTGGAATGGACAGTCTCAGTCCTTTGTGTCCTTGCAGTTGGTCTGATGGTTGATGTGTTTCTGGCCATTTTAGGGATGGCGGCAAGCGTTGGTGTCTGTTTTAAGTGTTGTTACTATTATGCTTGAGCCCGCCTAATCCTAACAGCGACTTGAATGACTTGTTTCCTGCGTTGTTTGAGAAGAGAGCACAGATCTGTCCGTTTAGTGTGAATATTTAGTCTCTGCATGCTCTCCATTCATCAGCACTTCATTACTCTTTCCTGGGTGGAGCAGCTACGAGACACCTGTCCCTCCTGATGCTTCATGTAATTGCCTCTCATCCCTTTCTCCATCTTGCTGCTTTTAGGTCTTTTAAACAGATGGCTCACCCCCACATCTCTCACTAAATTTGCAGAGCGCTCCTGTCAGTGATCTGATGTTTCATGCCCTCCTCTATCCCATCAGCCCGTGGGACACATCCTTACGACAATCACAGATGGACCCGGATTCTCCTTAGCGTTCCATTTTCATCATTACTCATAAAAACACAGATCTCTGGGGTTCGATTTTGGTTTAACGTGGCATTCAATCTGAACTGCTTCTGTTCTTTTCTCCTCTAATTG